GAAATATAACTGCAGCAACTGTCAGTGTATTTTCTGCAAATCAGTTACACTTTAATTAGGTGAGACTGTATGCTCTCATATCAAATACTGATAAAAGTTCAAAACTTTTTGAGTTTATATGTGCAATAACTAATGAATGTTTGCAGCAGAAAGGAAACGAATTTTACGGAAGTAGAAACCATAGACATATAACAATGGAGAACGAAAGAGACCAGCTCATGAGATCAGAGTATAGAAAGGTTGCTGCATATGGGCCTTGACTATCATTGTCTTGTTGACTCACACGATTGGCAGATAACTCAGCAAGGGATCCCTACACAACAAGCCAGAGTGAAAGAGTCTCCTTACCCACATCTTAAACCTAAGCCCCGACCACTTCTTACAACTTAAATATAAGATCTTGTGCATTACAACTCTGATCTATGATAGCTACGTAGACTAAATCTTTTGCTGTAGCCATACGGTCCGTGTTTTGATTCCTGTTCTTTTTTTTTCTTTTTTTTTTAACTAGCACAACTTTAATAAATGGACTTCTACGTGCACGATATATGTCATTATTTAACATAATTTTAACAAAGCTCACTCATAATGGGAGTAATGTTAAGATAAGATCAGTGAAAAATAAACCAGAATGTTATAAGTGCACTGAAGAGTCAAGCCTTACTATTTACACTAAATTATTATAATTGGCATTTACTTTCAATAAGTTCTAGTAATGTAACCTTTTTTGCATTAAAAATGATAAAATAGGCACAGTATTTACTTACTATACTTGAATCCTTATATGTTATTACGTTTTATTTATACATATGGCAGTAGCAGCACCATAATATTATTTAAGTTTTATAATGAGTAAAAATAATAGCAACTGTTTTTAATTATTTAAATAGATTTATTTAACTGGCAACTTGAGAACTAAAAATTTTTTTTTCATTACAAAAACAATACATTTTTTTATTTTAGGTAGTCTTTAGTGTCTTATATCATAAGTGAGTAAATTATGTCTGTCTTACCTATAATAATTCTAATGTAAATTTCACTTACGGACCGGAAAAAATTGTAACTTTATATTTTTCATGCTTATTCTGTTGTTATTGTTATGAATCAAACAACTTTCATGATGCATTCTGATGTCTATATTTTCATTTATAATAAGCACAATAATTTTATGTCTATGATCAATCAAGGGATTTGGTAAAAAAATGATCATAATTGAATAAATGGTTAAACAAAGTACGCATAGTACTATTAACCATTACTGAATGAACATTTTTGAAAAATAAACTTGGAGTCTGACGAATTACTCTCTTAGTACATTTGTATACACTAATAACGATTATACTTATAATAACTAATTATATTATAATGTTATATAATTATAATAACTAACTATGCTTCGTAACATGGATAATGTTGATTCTTTGTTACTATCGGTATCCTTAACTGCAGCCAAACATTAGTATAGTGTACAATGCGTTCTAAGTATTTTACTGTTGAACCTGCAAAGTATAAAATAATTTGGTTGGAATACTCATTTCTCATTCACTGCATGCATCACAGTATCATTCAACAATTCTTTAGACAAATCACTGATGTAACTATTTAAACTAACAAAGAAAGTTGTACCTAAGGGTGAACAATTAGCTGACGCAGAAATACTTACATTTAACTTATAACTTATCAATCTTTTAATAGCTAAGAGGCATTACACTGTTGTAGTGTTATTGGTAAGACCATTCATACTGCAAATAATTGAAAGGAGCATTTTAATGTGCTCCTGTGACAGTTCATAGTTCAGTACATAATTTAAGTATTTGTCATGTAATGAATCTCGAGCTAAGCTGTATAAATTTGACAAACCCATTATTAACCCAGCGAAACCCGTACACACTGTGCTAGTGTCTGTATTTTTAACTGAATGTGTATAGTCGTTTTGTGAATAACAATTTTTTTACTTTTTTTTACAGGTTGCACGATTTTTAGACTTTCTATATACGTTATAAATGTTTCTACTTTCTCTTTTAAGTCACTTAGATAATCAGTTGTAACTGCTGATTGTCCTAAAGTTTTGCAAAATTTGTTTCTCACATGTAGAAGATTGAGTCTCATTTATGTATTTACAAAAAGCTGAAGTTGCCGCCGCTATACACAATTTTTATCCATTAAATATTATTCCAAAATATTTAAAGCTATAGATGTGCTATTATTTAAAATCTGAACGGCTAAAAACACACATATTTTTTCATTTTTAAAATGTACATGTTTATTCTTAGTTTTAGTTGTGCAGTGTCATTTTTCCTCTTTCTATTTGTTATTTAATTTTTTTAATAAACTCCCAACGTATTAAATCTAACTCATTGTTAAGTATGGGGCCTTTAATTGTAAAATAGTTTTTGCACGATTTTATACAATGGCACCGAGCATAGAAAACAAATACTGGCTTTCCTGTCTCAGGATCAGGAAAAAAGGTTTTAAAGTGTTTTTGTCCGTATAGTTCAAATAAGCACCGATAAATTCATATGCAGTTTTGTAAGCCTGATATCCGTCAAAGGTAACACTGGTAACGTTGATCCCATCTGCTTGAATTCTAATTAGGAGATCTTTGAGGAGAGTTGACTTTTCCACTTTATTTAATGAATTTGTGAGGTAGTGGGCAACGGGCGCTTTGAATACGCTATAAATACATACGAGCACAAACACGAATGCCTTTGTTGCTATTTTTAATTCTCTGTTATGCTTAGTTTCATTTATTTGGCCTTTCAAGTACTAACTAAACTTCTTTACGTTTGACTAGAACTGTTCCACTCCTTAGGTTGCTTTATGCTCATTTCATTGTAAGTTTGCTTAAATACCAATTAATTGCCTTTAATATACTATGCTTCTACTAATTTTGTGATTTTCGTATCTGTTGAGAAATGCCCGGTCAGTAATCATGCAAGTTAAGCCACTTGTTAGGAGTTCCAACTGATGGCAAGCATTTCAAAAAACTGCTTTGCACAATTTCATACGCAGATGGTGAGTGTAAGTGTAGGCTTCTGTCAAAGTTCTTTAAATTTGGAGAAAAAGCAGCAGTTGCTTTCTTCTCTTTCATGCATATTAGTAATTTCTGAACGTGCTCCAGCCAATCCTATGAAAGTAAATCTTAAGCAAAAAAAAATTTATCGTCATCTCAGAAAAATAAGAAGTAAGAGTACGAAAAGATTTAGACGTTAGAGTGGACAGTTTCATTAAGTATACAAATTTCTATCGTTCAAAATATTATTTTCTTAAATAATCTGCTATTTCTTTAATAAAAGCAGTCTGCTCTTCTCACAGTCTGCTCTTCTCACAGTCTGCTGGTCTGCTCTTTACTTTCTCTCTGCAAAACCTACAGTGGGTGAGCGTGTCTCGGGAAGCGTATCAATCAATCGTGTAAGTCGACAAGACAAGGATAGAAGGGGCCCATATGCAGCGATCTCTTTGTATTCTGATCACGCTGCCACTTATACGCTATTATAGGATTCGCTCACTCTATTTAAATTTATATGTATGGTGAAAACAAAATAAAACTACTTTTTTTACAAGAATTACATCTTGTATCCTTGGTTTGTAGCCAGCTATTTACATTAGTTTCGTTTCATGTAATTAATAGCAGTAAAGTCTTAATGCAGAAGATATATTAAAACAGTATTTCTTACACATTTTTTAATGAAATACTATAGTAATGTTTTATTACAGTATAACTGCTATATTCAATTTTTTTTCTTTGATTGTTTATCATTCCTCCCAAGTTCAGATATGCCTTTTTTTGTAAGTCTCAACAAGAGGTTTTTTAAAATTTAACAGCACAGGAGAAGCAGTAAGTTATGAATGGTCACCCATCCAAGTAATATCCACACCAAATGTTTCTTTATCTCAGAGACTGACGTGATTGCAACTCCAAAGCTGCGGTACTACAACTACTTACTACTACATGTACTTAAAGAGTATTAATTGTTATCTAAAATGTATAAAACTTGAATATTCTTTTAACTGCTATTTTCCTGACAAAATCTTAATAGTACTTCAATTCTTCATACTGTCTACTATAGAAGGAGGATAATGTTGATTCTTTGTTACTATCGGTATCCTTAACTGCAGCCAAACATTAGTATAGTGTACAATGCGTTCTAAGTATTTTACTGTTGAACCTGCAAAGTATAAAATAATTTGGTTGGAATACTCATTTCTCATTCACTGCATGCATCACAGTATCATTCAACAATTCTTTAGACAAATCACTGATGTAACTATTTAAACTAACAAAGAAAGTTGTACCTAAGGGTGAACAATTAGCTGACGCAGAAATACTTACATTTAACTTATAACTTATCAATCTTTTAATAGCTAAGAGGCATTACACTGTTGTAGTGTTATTGGTAAGACCATTCATACTGCAAATAATTGAAAGGAGCATTTTAATGTGCTCCTGTGACAGTTCATAGTTCAGTACATAATTTAAGTATTTGTCATGTAATGAATCTCGAGCTAAGCTGTATAAATTTGACAAACCCATTATTAACCCAGCGAAACCCGTACACACTGTGCTAGTGTCTGTATTTTTAACTGAATGTGTATAGTCGTTTTGTGAATAACAATTTTTTTACTTTTTTTTACAGGTTGCACGATTTTTAGACTTTCTATATACGTTATAAATGTTTCTACTTTCTCTTTTAAGTCACTTAGATAATCAGTTGTAACTGCTGATTGTCCTAAAGTTTTGCAAAATTTGTTTCTCACATGTAGAAGATTGAGTCTCATTTATGTATTTACAAAAAGCTGAAGTTGCCGCCGCTATACACAATTTTTATCCATTAAATATTATTCCAAAATATTTAAAGCTATAGATGTGCTATTATTTAAAATCTGAACGGCTAAAAACACACATATTTTTTCATTTTTAAAATGTACATGTTTATTCTTAGTTTTAGTTNCTATTATGGTTTTATGTATTTTTTAAAATTACACTTTAATTATTTCAGACAATGGCTGCAACGAAGAGAAATGCTGGATTATCAGCAGTTACACGCGCAACATTAAATGATGAGGAGCTGGTAAGTATATTTCTATATAGTTTTATTGTTTTATTAACAAAGCGATCATTCATTGATTCATCAATTAAAATACTACTGACTAGCTAGGAAAATTTGTCTTAATAGATATCAGTCCCCGTAAATTTATCTGAATTCAGATAGATAAAAAATTGAAAATAAATTTTTTTTAAGTAAGAGCTTTAAAATTACTAGCATACATTTTTTGTCTACTCAATGATTATAGAAAACTCATTCTAATGTAAAAAAGTTGTATCTGGCATATTCAAAGTACATAATAGTTTATGATGTACAATTTTTTTAGCTTCTGTGTTAAGTTGTTTTCTTTTTGTAGTATAGTCACGTCAAACCACTTGAGAGTTTATCAAAATCACTATTTTTAATGCCATTTTACATGCAAAGGCAATATATAATGGTGAAAACTGTTCCATTCTCGATAGATATTTTTGTAAGCTGTTCAAAGAAATATGTTTTAATATCTCTTTAGTCAAATTCTCAGTGCTTAAAGAGGTAATGGAATGCTGTCATTGTGGAAGATTTGTTTTTTTTAAATAGCTTTTTCTGCCTAATTGTTACCCTTAAAATTTAGAAAAAACATCTGAATGTGAGTTTATGTGTAAGAAAAAACCTACTTTTCTGAGATTTTTTGAAACATAATTTGAAGCTTAAAAAAATTCATAAAATATTCAATAATTTTTTAAGTTGTAAAGGATACATTTTTGGAAAATTAAAACAAATATTTTTCTTGTATTATTTTGTGATCTAGTAAATAATAGCATTATTTGTGGAATTTCTTGACCAGAATATGCCCAAAATATATAAAATGAGTGTTTTCACTTTATTCCACAGGTTTCTGAAATATAACCTTGAAAGTTTATAGCCTAATAGTTGCTAAATCATCAAAAACTACTTATAGACAGTGGTCCAAGCTTTAAAAGTTTTAGAATTGGAGATTCACTCTTTTAACAAATTAATGTAGCTAAGTCTTAGCACTTCCATCTTAATGTTGAATTTTGCAAATACGCATACAGGTATTATGAGCGCTATGTACATCGTTGTATGCAAGTATTAATGTATTGTCTATATTTTTCTACAGACTTATAGTCTATTGTACATACACATATATAAACAAATTAATATTCATACACTAATATATACACAAAAGTATCACAAACCGTTGTAATCGCTAACTGCAACAACTACTCAACCGTTTTTTTTCACATTTTGCATACTAATAGCAATGAATAAGCTCAATGTTTTGCAGTAAAAACGCTAGCTGTGTGCCATAGCTTAGTAGAATTCGTTAGGTGGAGTCAAAGTAATGTTAAAGCCACTTGCAATAAAAGTCAGAGCACCAATAAAACAGAGCTCTCAGTCATGCAACTGAGCATACAGGTAACCGATGACACTCTGACAGCCTGCAATGGGTAAGCAACCTACACTTATTCACACTCTGGATTACCTACATAACTAAGCGCTAAAATAATAAGTTATTCCAAAAGTCAATGTCACCTGGGTGAGACCCATATACATTTGGCCACGGCACAATCAGCTCCAAACTGCTGAACGCTGGCGTGGCCGTTCTTTTGAGCAACCCAGTACTGCCAAACCGCCACCTACAACAACAGCAAGCTAAGGATATGGTCAATAAGGGTTTTCCATAGACCCTTTCTAGGCCTGTCATAAATCTTTATGTTTACTAAGCCACCATCAATCTTACTGATCTTTGCCAGGTTTATCCAACGATAAATTATCTGGCCAAATAATGTATTTTTTTCACAAATATTTTCGAAAAATATTTCAACGCAAATTGAGACCATGATTTGCCCACTAATACACTATATTAAGCTGACTACTTTCAAACCAACTGAGTTATTTACTGGCAGGCATAATGAAAAGTGTTTTTCACCATGAGACTGGGTGACCCGGCCATCGATGATCGTACATTACTTTCTTGACTCTATAAATTCAACCAGATATCACAAATCATTGCCAACGTATTTGTTTGACAAATCTAATAGAAAAGCTAAAAAGAATAAGTAAACTTAAGAAACTAGAACGGTCTTTAACAGGCAAGTGACATGAATGGATCCCCGCCTTAGATCATTAAAACGACTGAGCTCCATGATTAAAAAAAGATGCTTCGGATGTCAAAGTCTCTGGGAGCCTGGCATAATACAAGAATACATGTAAAAAAATAACATTAACTAGCCTTAATACTTCCGAATTTTGTGGTCTTTCTCCTGGTCTGTCTGGTGCTATCACAGAAGGCCAGAAAATATCACCCTAAGGTATCGAGGCTGTCACGTTTCCTAGTAACTTTAGGGAAGAAAAAGTTTAGCTTACCAGTCTTGTTTAGGACCATTCAACGTCAAACTACCTTACCAATAAGTAAAATACAACTTATCAAAGTTGATAAAAAGGTACAACCCCCTTTTTTCATGGTATAATTATAGTGCAGAGGCAGAAACTTATAAGTAGTTATAAGTGTGGAAACTAAGGAAACAAGATCCTCGTTAAACGTACCTTGGGTACTTCTAGATACGCCAGTTAATTTTCCAAAGGCAGCTTACTTATACATATATATCTGCCATGCTCCCTGTCTAGCTCAAAAACTAAACTCAGGTTCTAGTCTGAGAGCTGGAGGTTCAAAAAATATGATTTTTCGATGTTGGATGAAATTTAACGAAATATCGAAAAGACTACATATTGTTATCGAAATAGTTATCCACTAAAAAAGTTAGAATGAAGTAAGTCACAAAGGCTTTTTTTACTGCAAAATATATTTCAAAATCAATTTTTTTCCGTTATCTCCCAATATCTCGGAAATAGAACAATTTCTCGAAAAAATTTATTAACGACAGTTGTTCACATAATAATCTTACGTAACGGTAAGTTTGTTTCGAAAGCTAAAAGTTATTTTTTCAAACTGGAAACAAGTGGTAAAGTTGTAAAAAGCAAACAACAAAGAGATATGAAAAAGAAAGGAAAAAAATCATTTTTTTAAGGTTAATATTTGAACATAAGATAGGTATTAGTATTGTTAACAAAACGCATCAGGTCCGCTTATTGAAAAGCAATATAGTGACATACTGCAAAACTGTTAGTTCGAAAGTTTACGACGCTGTAAATTCTCTTAAAGAGAGTAAATCTGGATAGAACACATTGAAATCAGTAGGTATTAACATTATCTATTGTCGAGCAAATGCTTTTTTTTACTTGTTAAGCCTGATATACTGTGTGCAGATGATGGAAACTTGCATAAAAGTACATGACGAAAAAGATTAGACATCAATTGTCAAAAGCTTTGTTAAGAAATCGCTTATTTAATACAGTGCGTACGGTCAAAAAAGTGCTCAACTGCGTTACTGCATTGATAAAGCTACACACCGCACTCACTATGTACCGACATCACGCCTATATTTGGCTCGCTCGGGCATCCCTCGAGTATTTAATTGCAAAACGAATTACTTCGCAACAAACACACGTGTAAGAGTTAAATTTATTCTCATTTTGCGTATTTTTTTTCTCATCTTTACAAAGTTGTTTTTTTTCGCTAAAATACTTGCGCTGGCCTCAAAATACGAGAAATCATTGTGACTTACTATTTTCACAGTCTTCCTTTCCAATTTTAATTTCTTCTGTTTAAAATGGTCAATGAAGTTGTTGCTGAGTAAAAATATATACAATTATCAAAACTGGAGATTAGTTTAACTTTTGTGCTATTACACATGTTTAGGTACAAAAATATAAATACGGTCACTATTGAAACTGTGGCTTCTTCGCAATAGATTCGCTAGCTACTTTCTCTTCAACGCTTTTTTATACAGTATTATTAAGCAATAAATAAAGTTCATCGTTCTCCTTGGGCTCTACATAATAAATATCTAAGATGAAGTCTGCAATGTGTGCTATGTCTTGATCAATGTACTTTTTCGCCTTAGAAACAATGTAATTTTTAGTAAAATAGATTTCTGTAACTTCAATATTCATGCAACTTTTTCCTTCGCAGGTTCAACAAAATGAAGCACTATTGATATCTACTTTGCGATAGGAGCATAGATTCATCTGGCACCCTTTTATGCAATTGCAAAAAATCAGGCTAACATATTTTTGGGAAATCGTCACAACTGTTGTCATTACTGGGAGTAAGCCGTTTTTTGTACATTTCCAACCATACTTAGTTGCAACCTTTGTTGTATCTTGCTCTTATGCTCTTAACTGATAATATATACGCAAGCAGTGTTAGGCAACTGGAGTCTCTGTTGATGGTAGGATCACTTAATAGCATACGTTTGTAACGGTCAGTCTTTTGAATAAAGTAGATGGTAGCTTGTTTAAACGACTATTATTTGAGAAAACATGTAGCATGCACTTATATTTAAAACCAGCACATAAGTAAGGCTGACTGCTCGTTTGGGTCTTTATATTCATATTATTACTGGTGTAGAATCTTACTTTTTAACAGCGTTTTTAACAGTTTTACCTATCGAACTCTAAAAAGTACTGAGATTGTGTCGCACGCTAAATAACTGTGCACTAAAGCTATCAAGTTGTTGATATCAGGATGCTTAGAACTTCTATTGGAACAAGTAATTTTTTCGTCGTGTTTGTTGGACTTTTAAAAAGAATATGTTCTTTTCATAACAAGTTATTTGTGTTGAAATAATTAATAAAGCCGTAGCCTCGTGATTATGACCTCATTGCTAAACGAGTCACAGTATTGTACATAGCAGTATAAGCAGTTGAGGCATCTGCATCTTCCTGGCCCTGTTTATAAATAATATGCGTTGGGTTAAGTATCTCTTACAGTAGCTTAATCAGTTTTTTCTTCATTTTTCTCGCTGCTTAGAAAATTTGCTTGGTTTATGGCTAGTAGATAGCATTCTACGTCAACTTCTGCCAAGGTTGTTTTCTTCGAATGTTGCATACACTTAGCCGTTTTCTAGTTTTTTTGCGGTAAATCCTCAGGACAATCATCAAATACTATTTTGCAATGCTGT